GCTAGAAAGGTGGCAAGCATCCTGCATTGTAACAATGGGAGCACCCACAGTAGGCAGAGGGAGTGGGTTATCTCCCTCTACTCAACACTCATTAGATCATATATACAATATCACAACCAGTTTTTGGGTAGAAGGAAGATACTGACAAACTACAGTGAGCTCAAGGGAGAGTCACCAAGACAACAACGGGCAGGAGATCCTGACTTGTGAAAAGAGGCTTAGGAAACTGCATTTGTTCAGCTTGCAAAGAGATGACTCTTGGATGACCCAGCAGTAGTCTTCCCACACCTCTGAGATGATTTTCCATAAGAAGGGAGTTTGACAAGCAACAAACATAAACTGAAACAGGACAGGCTCTGTCTTGACTCACGGAAAAGGATTTTAATGATGAAGACAGCCAAGCATTGGAGCAAACTTCCTAGTTCCTATCCCTGCAGGTTTCTGAGACATACCAGGTATGGCCCTGAACAACCTGCTCATACATATGATCTGCTTTGAACACGAGGTTGCATGAGAGACTCCTGAGGTCCCTCTCAGCCTGAATTACACTGTGGTAAAGGTAGTGGGACTATATCAGGCCAGATAGAATGAGTAGGGGGAAAGACAGCAAAAGGATGTACAATCACTCTGGTATTATTTTATGACGTGTATGTTCAAAATTGCAACTGTGCTAATGCAGAAAATGCCCCACAGCTGAAGTCTGGTGTGCTTGGAATGACATCCCTCACAGTTACAGAGTAAATGTACAGGTAACAGTAGAAAAAGCAGTGCTTTAGGAAAAAGGATGAGAAAAAAGAATTCCACTTGGCCAAGGACTTCTGTCAGAATGGCAGTAATACAACGGTAACTTCAGCTGTTAGTAAAAGTCCTAAGCAATTACAGTCAAACACTGGAGAAAGAGATGGTTGTACAGGTAATCCCAAAGAGAATAAGAGAGAGAAATCAGAAGTGACAACAATACTCAATAGGCTTTTCCCAAGATGTAAAATGCAAATAACTGACAAACTCAAAGAAATGAAAAGAGCCAAAATCTTAATGTAAAGGGCATTCTTGAAAAACACTGTAATGGTAAATCAATAGAATGTCCTTCTTCAGTGTTAATTGGTTTTTGGAAGTGAGGAAGAGAGCCGTTTGACATGGTCCATAAAATGTAATTACATTTTTGGAATGAAAAAGAACAGAAAACTCAAAATAGCCACACACTTGATTTAAGCATTTACTACTGCTTTCAACATTCTAACAGAAAGAGGGAGAGAGAATATGAAGGCATTACATCTGCAAACTCAATGACATTACTACCTTTATACATTTACTCTGTCCCTTGTTGTTACCTGTTTAATATTTAACCTGTTAATTTAGCTTTACAAGATGCAAAAAAGATAGAATATGTCCATACAGAAAATGCTTCTTATGGCAAGTGTTCTCTGCTCAAGAAGTTCATACCACTTAAAGTGTCGCACAAACTTCACATTCAATTCTACCTAATGCATGACAGTTATGAAAACTACTTGACCAGATTTGAGCTTAAAAAGCATTTTCTTTTAGAGCACGAGAAGTATACAAGAGGACATGAATAAGGAAAAAAAAAAAGTTCATTGCTCCAAAAAAGAAAGAACATACAAACCACAGTGAAAAGAGATGCTTTTTTTTTTTTTTTTGCTACAAAGAGTAACTTAACTGTTTATGCTGTTTATACAGAAAAATATTTTGGGTAATCCATCAGAGAGCAAAAATGTATCAGAGTCAGTACCAAAAGGTGAATGCTACAACATAATCCTGAAATTTATTACTCACTTATTTCACTCCAGTACACCCTCAGGACTGCACCTGTGACTGTACCTACCCTCACAAATTTACAACATTTATCAGGATGTAACCTCTCACCTCCCCAAAGTTCCATAAGAACAAGCAAACACAACCAGCAGAGGCAGAAGAGAAAAAGATTATGGTTCTATCAGCAGGCAGATGCAAGCCCTTCTGAGAAATACAACCTTTTGAAATAAATAGTTGGGCTGCTACTGGGACTCAAGCAAACACACAGGCAGCTCAGAGGGACACTGGTTGGAAGGAACCAGCCTCCTGCTCAGAGCAAGACTCGTGCCCAGGCCTGGTGACACTGCTTCAAGTAAAGAGGCTGTGCTCAGCGAACAATAGGTAGGAGAGACAGCAGGGCGCTGGATGCCAAAACAGGCCTCTGCCCCGGGCTCTCAGGTGGCACTTAGCTTTCCACGTCAGAAATCAGCTAAGGAAACCATGAGCTGACACGATGATCCTTTCTAAAGAATAAAATCAAGTATTCTAAACAGTATTTTTCTACCCTGACTCTGCTCGCACATAAAGAAATCACTGAAAGAAAAATTGAAAGGAACAGATGATAATGGGTATTGAATTTGTGACACATGCTCTTCTTTGATGGAGCAAAGCCTTGTTTCATACTCCAGCGGTCTTAAACCCATGAAAAGAACCAAACCTGTTTACAAAGATGCCATCTTTTTTGCAAAGATGAATATCAGTGATATTCAGTATCTAAGGGGGAGATGCAGGAAAGAAGTGGACAGACTCTTTAGCAGGGTCTGTGCTGACAGAACAAGGGGAAATGGCTTCCAACCCAGGGAGGGTAGATTTAGGTTACATTTACAGTGAGGGTGTTGAGGCACTGGAACAGGTTGCCCAGAAATGTGGTGGATGCCCTGTCCCTGGAGACTTTCAAGGCAAGGCTGGATCACACCCTGGGCAACCTGATCTAGCTGTGGTGTCCCTGCTTATTGCAGGGGAGGGGGACTAGGTGTCACTCAGAGGTCCCTTCCAACTCTTAAGGTTTCCATGACTCTACAATGCAAAACATCACAGTAACTTGAAAAGTGAGTAGCAAACAGCCAGCAAAAATTCAAGCACAACGAGGTACTGCCCACAGTAACTACTTAGTATTTGTCAGCAATAGCATGCAGATTGTAAAACACAGGCAGCGTACTGAAAGTCAGGTACTTTAACATCTTGACAACTCAGGTTGAGTGACGCTTGTTCTGTGTCACTTACTGATGGCAGACAGAACGCTGTAACACACTTAGCTAACAAGACATGCTCGTTTTCACATGACCTGGACCTCAGAGGCAAAGAGAGCAGATCAGCGTTAGCTGAGGATACAGAGACCATGGAGACACAACATAGATTTCTAAGGGATTTCTCATGGGAAGTGGGGAAGAAAGTCTGTAATAAGCCCATTCAGATGTGTTAAATGTAAAAACCTTTCTTAATGGCTTAATTTTATTTGCCAGGAAATTGCTTTTGCAGGTGACTCACTGCTTAAACACTAACTTGGAGGGAATACGAACTGAAGTCCACTCTTTGGGCAGCTGGGTTCTGGAGATAAACTGCTGTCTCTAAGTCAGGCTCTACAAGGAGACACACTGGCATTCTTAGAGCATAGCAGAAAAAAAGCAATGAACAAATGAAGAAGCCCCGAAGCCTAAAAATGAAGAAGTTAATTGTAGTTAACTCAGACGCAGCTAAAGGAACCTCAAGTTGGGAGCGCAAGGCTTACATATCTCGAAAAAAGAAAAGGAAGCAAAAAACAAGAGTTAAATGAAACACCTGAGAGGCTTACCGAGACAGAAAATAAATCCCATCCCAAGCAAGGCTGGCAGCACCACTGATCTGAGGCGCTATCCTGTTAGGACGCTGCTGTCAGCCGCCACAGGGGCACGCACGCAATTTCCTTTTTGTTCTCCCTTTAAACGAGGTGTTTTTCCTGCTAACCCACTTTCCATAACCCCGTCATCAGGCCCAGCCGGGGTCACCTCAGCGCTCACTCAGCGCTCCGAGGACCCGATGCCGCACGCAGCTCTCCCGCAGCTCGGGAGCGGCACGCCGGGACGCACTCAGGGGCCATCTTACAGGCTAAAGACCACGCGGCGCCGGCAGAGGGCGGCCTGGCGGACCCGCCGCCCGTCACCGGCTGCCGCGGTCGCCGTGACACCGCTCCGGACCCGGAACCAACAGCCGGCGGCTCGGAAATCTCTCCGGAGCCACGCTCGCAGCGCCTCAGCTCAACGGGCGCAGTGGTGACCGCCTCGCCCAATCCCCGCCGCAGCAAGGACGGCGGAGGCTCGCTGGGTCACGTGACCGAGAAGGCGGTGCTAGCGCGCCCCCCGCCGGCCACCGCACTCACCCGCAAGCTCTGCCCTCCGCCGCCGCTCGGCGCCTCCGCTTCCGGCTGCGGCCGCGTCCTTCTGCCCGGCCCGCGGCGGCTCCCGGGGGAATAGGCGGCGGGGCGGGGCCGGCCGGGCTGGGCGGGGCGTCCGGGGAAGCCCGTGAGGGACCGGGCAAAACTGGCAGCCTCTCCGAGGAGGCGGATGTTTCCGATCGGGGGAATCGGCTGAAGGAAGGAAATATCGCTGCAGAGCTTTTGGGACAGCGGAGCGGGTCCAGAGGAGGGCCACTATGATGATCAGAGGGCTGGAGCACCTCTCCTGTGAGGAAAGGCTGAGGGAATTGGGCTTGTTTAGCTTGGAGAAGAGAAAGCTCTGGGTAGATCTCATGATGGCCTTCCAGTACTTAAAGGGAGCGTATGAACAGGAGGGGAAGGGCTGTTTATGAGGGTGGATAGTGATAGGACAAGGGGGAATGGTCTTAAACTGAGACAGGGGAGGTTTAGGTTAGATATTAGGAGGAAGTTTTTCACACAGAGGGTGATGACACACTGGAACAGGTTGCCCAAGGAGGCTGTGGATCCCCATCCCTGGAGGCATTCAAGGCCAGGCTGGATGTGGCTCTGGGCAGCCTGGTCTGCTGGTTGGTGACCCTGCAGAAAGCAGGGGGTTGAAACTGGATGATCATTGTGGTCCTTTTCAACACAGGACATTCTGTGACAAGCTGTGAAAAGAGAAGCGCTACCTAGTGAAAGGGCTGAGTCAGGAATTGCGTGAGAATCTACATGTAATAACAGGTATAAAAACACAGCTAGGCCCAAATGAAATGAAAAATACAAGGAAGAACCAGAAAAAATTTTAACATATTTAATGTAAAAAAACCCCAAACATACACGGGCTACACTATCACATTTGACATTCTAACAGTTGCAGCTTGAAATAGCAACTTCAATTTAAGGAAATCTCATTTTTGTAAATTTACAGTTGCTTTAAATTGCTTATAAAACAGTGAACAACGACAAGAAGTCAATTTAACAGTAAGTTGTTATCATTTATTGTGATCACAGACAAGCTAACCATAGATAGAACTGAACCCCAATGCACTGCGTAGAGAGAGATTTGTCATTCAGATGCTTTATCTATCTCTTAAGTTTAACTGTCTGCAGAGACCAAAACTCTTCTAATTTGTATTATCCCATTCCCTCATCCAGTCGCTATAACTGACTCTCAAGGCAAATACCTGCCAGTTTGCCCCAAAGCCAGTCTTTTAATATTCTTTGTGCAAAGGATGGTGGAAGAGAAGACCAGATTAATCCACCCGAAAGAGGCAGAGGTTTTCTTAATATATATGAGCAGATAATCTTAGTAACCCTTTGAAGGTAGTGAGGAATATCTGTTTCAAATACACGATGCCTCACATCCTTTTCTTTAAGAGATGAACCATATTTCATATTACCTGTTTTATTCCTATTACAGAAAAACTAGAATGAACAGCTCAGATACAGATGTCTAAAACGTGGTGGAAATTGCAATTAACAGAGCCCAATATTTGTAGCAAACCATTCAGAAGTATTGAAGATTTTTATTTCTGAGTGCTCATACACACACAACCCAAATCTCTAAAACCTAAGTATGAATTAAATAAGAGGAAACTTCATGTACACGACATTGTACTAAACACAAGAGAAACAAAATTATGGAATTCTCTTGGAAGTTTTTGGTGAAAATAGGCTGTAATGCGTAGTAGCCATTTGTGCATTGAATCATTGAGTATGTCTTCAGAACTGTATTTGAACAAGCAAGCTTTGGAAAAACTAAGAATATCCATGTTTCTTGATTTAATGTCAGCTGATACGAAGGAAACATTAGTCTTCCATAATTGTCAATGGTGGAAAGGCAACATGGAGAAAAAAATCCAGCATGCTGGAAATACAGACTGTAACAACAGCTACATTCAAACCCACTTTTTTCTAAACCTTTCTCTCTTCCATAGTATGTGTTCTGCACCATTCCAGGAGCCTGTTATGAGGTATGAGAAAATAAGAAGAAAGCTAACATTATAACTGTTTCTCTCTCAAAATAATTCTGAAAATAAAACAACAACAACAAAAACAGTTTGCTTCTTTCAAACCCAAAGTATGCTTCAACATTATGCTCACTCATAAGAGTATCGTTACTACTCTCATACAAGTAATCACAATGAACTTATACAGCACTAAAAAAAATGATATAAAACAAATAGTCCCACACATAATAATACAATAGGTTCCCAGAAAACTAATCAAGAATAAATCACACTGTCTGTATTGAAGAGTAAACACCATTTTCAAGTGCCAACAAAGTGTTCAATTTGTTAGCATGCCTCTTCCATATAGGACTCGAGTAGAACAAAGTGATTTCTACACAGGAATTTCTGCAACAACTTTGGTTTGTAATGAGCCACAGAGAATTCAGACCCCATATATAATATCGATCTACCGGATTTCTGTAAAGCTAACCCAGTAGGCAACAGGGACAACTATACATATGAACTTCATGATGAGAATAATAATTTAAACTCAATGTCATATTCCAAATATACAGAAAAGACTTGATTATATTAAACATCTATTTTCTGCTAGTTTTGGGATCTAGCCAGATCCCAACCCTTTAATACCTTATGACTGAAGTCTCTATATCCAACGCATGCTAAGCTGCATGGAAAGCCTTAGAAGTCTGTACTGAAGGGTTTATCTATTTCAGCACATTTCAGATATGAAAGCTCAACTGTAAAGACTGAACTATACTGGTTGTCAGAAGATGGGAAGCCATACTGGTGCAAAACCAGAAGAAATGAAAACAATGCACCAAAGTTGGTATCCTACATGAATAAATTAGTCTTGCTGAGAAACAGAGTATGGTAGCAGGAGAGGAGCACTGCATTAATACAAATGCATGCCTCTGGTACTTCAGCTAAAATCAGCGTGGCAAATATAAGATTTGTGCATGTGCAATGCAGGCATATTAATTCATTCAAAGCCAAATTTGTGCAGTATCACTGCCACAGCCTTGCTGGCTAGATTTGTAGTTACTCAGGAAAGAATATTACACTGAAGCAGCTGCACTACTTATGGTGCCCAGACTAACTTTGTTGGAGGATGCTTAGTGAGCTCTGCAGACACACTGGTTCTTGAATCAACTGTCATTTTCAAAAGTTAGCCTACTGCAGGTTCAAGACACAGTCTAGATGTAGAATGTTTACATGGTAGTCAGATGACAAGTTCATGCGACAGCCTGTCCTGTGGCAGGCATTTCCCCAACATTTTAAATGGTTCCACACACTTGCAGATGAGTTGTGTGTGGTTGAATAACCATTGCACTAATTAGGAAAGCTGCAAATACTACATTAATCAATGTCTTCCTACAGGGATAAAAAGAAAGAATAACAAAATACAAAAAAGAGCCTAAGTTCCTCAGTTTTCACATCCAATAGAAGTCATCCAATCTGAAAAAACAAGCAAACAAATAAGAAAATAGACATGAGATCATTCCCTGAAGCAGGAATATAAATACTAGCAAAAGAAAATACAACTCTGGACAGCCAGAGTTTAAACACATCACAGCAAGTTGAAAAATGACACTGTATCAATTGGTGCCCCTCTCTGAATCACCCCGCATCAACGTGATCAGTTTACACATTAACAGCTACGCTTACTTAACTGATTTCAGCAAACTCAGCAGCCACGGTTAGACAAAGGTTTATCACAGTTCCTTCCACTTAATACCTTATCAGTCAAGGTCAGATTGTCTGCCCACAGAAATTCTCTTTCTTACCAACAATGTAGGAGCTAGAAGGTGTTACGTCCTCAATCAAAAAGCACTGCAGTGCCTCAGACAACGAGAATCAGCTCCCGTGGATGCGATACTGTATTTAGACCACTGACTTGCTGCAAGAGCTAAAGGAATTCTGACTTGTGGCCCAACCTGTCTACACTAGATGAGGTTACCTGAAGAACAGAAACTCTAGCTTGCTCCTCTGACATCTGACACTTCTTTCTTTTCCATTTGCTGCTTGCTAAAATCTTGTCTTAAATCCAGGAGTATTTCCTCCACTTGAGCGTATCTCAGCAGCTTGGTGGCTCACAAACCTTTTATGGTGCACATTTTCACCTGTACAAATCCTGCAGTTCAAAGGGTGGAGCCAGAAACAAGAAACAAGGCATAACTCAAATTACAAGATTAGACTGCCAGATAGAATCCATTCTTCTACTGGCTCTGTAGGACTAGCAGTAGAAAGCAGTAATAAAACTGAAGTGGACAGATATTCTTCATACTAGAAATGATCAGTATTTAAGCAGGAAATTGCACTTTTTCCAGAAACGCTTTCAGAAATAAATCTGCCTTCTGATATTCATCCTGCTACTAAAAAAGTCAGATGAAGATATCAAATTGCAAGTGAAAGCAAATATTGCTATTTTTTTCACAGCTGTGAAATTCCATCTGCATTGCCTTCGTATACCTACAAAAGTGTTCTAAGGAACTTCAAAATGCAGTTCAAGAGTAAAATAAAAAGATCTCCAAACTCCAGCTGAAATGTTAGAATCTGCAGGAGGGCATAACTGGACATCCAAGTGTGCACTGCTGGTGTTGTTCTTTTTGAGAAACGATGACTGAATCCTTTACATGGTCAGGAGTAACCACGTAACACTAATAGTAAAGGGCATGCATGGACAACCTGAAAAGAAATATCAGGCACCGCCTTTCCTTTGCAATTGCTCCAGTTTTCTTCTTAAGAGATTGTAGTTTTCCTTGGTCCCAGGTGCCATAGGATCAAGCTTCAGAGAGACTTCATAGTGCTTCTTTGCTAAGTCAAGATTTCCCCAGCGATGATAAAGCACAGCTGGAACATCAATAAGGGATTTCATTAGCAATATTGTTGAATAATGTGCAGTCTTGCCAGTGACTTGGAAAACAACATTAAAGCATTTGTTTCCAGTGAGGGTCTCTCACTGGCTGGTGGCACAGTAGCTGCTTGTTCTGTTGCCAAATGCAGGAGCAAAGCCTGGGAGCAGAACTGGAATGGGACTGATGGAATGAATTATGCTATAGCCACAAATGGCAGCTCTTATCTGGTGAGCTCCATTGTGGGTTATAAGCATAGCATAAACGAACCAATTTGCAGCCACTGAAGTGCAGCTACCTCTGGGCTGGATTGTGAAGCCCTCTTGATCTGTCTTATCATGTGACAGCTTCTCTGGGTTAGTGCCCTGTTCTTCACTGGCTGGCAGTTTTACCAGGAAGTCAAATAGCATCTGCTCAGCAGGAAGAAGGCTCGAAAGATTGCTTTTTCTTTTACACCACCATGAATATGAAGCAAACAAACAATACAGCTGAGGAGAGTTAGAAAATCTCTTACCTAAATTACCATGATAACTGGCAGCATTTGGATTGGCTTTAATTGCCTTGAGGAACAAAGCTTCAGATTCCTGAATAATTTAGAAGAACAAGTCAACAGAGCAGTCAACACTTGCAGTATGTAAAATAAAGCAAAATATACTCAAAATTGTAATTGAAGGAGATCTCAAACACCAACTATATCTATGTGATTCCACAATATGTATAATCTAAGCTTGCATAATCCTGTAGTTAAAATGGCTGTAGCCTCTGGAAAGAAAAGTAACAATGGCACAAATATGTGCCAAGATTTTGCAGCTTCACATTATTTTAACTGGGAGCTATTTAGCATTAGTGAAGTCTGTAAAAGTGGTTTAATTACATCACTTGCTCAAGTTTCAGTTAAGGCAAGCATAATATAGTACAGTATCTAAGAAAACTGCTTTTAGACATCTTCCCCTTTAACACAATTTTTTACCATTTAAAATGCAAGCATTCCAGTAAAACTCTTTCAAACAGATGTTTCAAGATGGTTCTTAATGAAGAATAACTGAGTGTCTGTCATTTAAAAATCAAACCAAGTGAAGCATTCTTCACGTTTCTTGCAAGCTATTTTCTCCATATACCAAGATGCAGTATGTGAGCTCTTAGAACTGTTGATGTCTGAGTACTTCTTAGAAAAGCTGAACTCTCACCAAATATTCAGAGGTGCAACTTTTGCTACATTAATTTCACAATTCAACATTTTTGCTTTACCATACTAACTGCTGATATAGACACAGAACATATTTCCTGAAGAAGTTTAGAAAGACACCCCTCAATCTGTATTTACTCACATGCAAGTTTAGATATTTTCAGAAGACACAATTTCACATAGATTCTGTGCTATGCTCTTTTAGGGAAAGTTGCTCATTTATTTTCAGTGCAAAACATCTAGAGACAAAATTTCCTCCATGTAGTAAGTAGTCTTCTGCCTTAAGGCACAAACTTGCCTAAGGTATGTGCAAGTTTTGGCATTGCTTTTCCCAGGCATAAGCAGCTGCTCTAGCATCCTCATATGCTGACTATTACAGTGCCAAGATATATTGGCCTCTGAGACTCACAATGTTTTAATACTTTGTTAATGATTTGGGTGATAATGATAGTGCATTATCAGAAACTTTTCAGAAGCAGCACCTAATTGAAGGAAGTGGTCAGTACACTGGGAGGGAAGGCTATCACTCAGATCTGGACTGAATGGAGAAATAGAATGGCAGGAATCATGCGATCTCTGCAGTTGGTTTGGTCCCTGTGGCCCAACCCCTGTTCCACCAGCACCACTCAGAGCAGGGTCCCCAAGTCCCCAGGCAGATGGCTTTTGGAGATCTCCAAGGAGGAGACTGCACTGCCTCTGTGGGCAACCTGTGCCAGTTCTCTTGTCACCCATACAGCAGGCAAGCACTGCCTAGTGCTCAGAGGGAACCTCCTGTCCTCCAGCTTATGATCCTTGCATGTTCTTCTGGCACTGGGCACCACTAAAAAGAGCCTGGCTCCATCCTCTGTGCACCCTCCCTTTGAGTATTTGTAGATACTGATGAGATCTCCTCTGAGTCCCCTCTCCTCTGGGTTGAGCAGTTCCATCTCCTAGTCTTTCCTTAAATTAGAGATGCTCCAGTCCCTTAATCATCTTCATGGACTTCTGTCAAACTCTCTCCACCATGTTCACGTCCCCCTTGTATTGGTTAGTCCAGAACTCGGCACAGTACTCAGGTGTGGCCTCCCAGTATTGAACAGTGGGAAAGGATCACCTCCCTTGACTTGCTAGCAATACTTTGCCTAATGCAACTCAGGACATTCTCAGCCTTCTTTGCCACAAGGACACTCTGCTTGCTCCATGCTCAACTTGGTATCCACCAGGATCCCCCTCTCCTTTTCTGCAGAACTTCTTTTTAGCTGGGTGGCCCACAGCACGTACTGATGCTTGGATTTGTTCCTCCCAGGTGCAGGACTCAGTATCTCCTCTGGCTCCCTCCACCGTTCAGAAGAGAAGATGAATGGGAGACCTTATTGCTATCTACAACTACCTGGGCAGAGAACGCACAAGAAATGGAGCCAGGCTATTCTCACAACAGGACAAGAGACAAAGGAAATTTATGTGAAATTTCATTTAGATAAAAGGAAACACCTTTTCTGTTTGTATGTTTGTTTTTTAACCATGAAGGTGGTCAAGCACTGGAAGGTGTTGCCTGGAGAGGTTTTAAAGATATTCAAGACTCAACTGGCCACTGTCCCTAGTTTGGTCAGGGATTGGACTGGATGACTCTAGATGTCCCTTCCATTCAAAATTGTTAATCACAGAATCATAGAATGGCCTGGGTGAAAAGGACAAAAACGATTATCTAGTTTCAACCCAACCTGCTATGGTGCAGGGCTGCCAACCATTAGACCAGGCTGCCCAGAGCCACATCCATCCAGCCTGACCTGACTTCTAATGCCTCCAGGGATGGGGCACCCACAACATCCCTGGGCAACCTGTTCTAGTGCATCACCACCCTCTGTGTGAAAAAATTGTCCTATGATTCTAACTGAGTCACCTGAGAAATATCCCAGTACTCAAACCTCTGGCAGATCCTGTGGTGCTGCAAGATAATCTTTTTACATATAGCCACACAAACCTATACATCAACAACAGAATGGCTCTTGAAAGCGTGTAGTAGTCAGAAATCCTACAGCTTGTAATTTTTTCCACTGCAAATTCTAGTATTTCAGTTAAGTAAATAAGTAAATCTCTGCTTTCTTCATCAAGCAGAGTAACAACGGTCTGAAAGATGTGCTGTCCAGTTAATTCACTTTTATGGCTAAATGTTGTCATCTACACAAAGGAGAAGTAGATAAGGCTTACTGTTTTCACTGCTGAAATAAGATAGGGCAATATGTGCAATGTGTTCCAAGAAAATACATTGAAATACACGATCAGAGCTGACTCTCATTACCATACATCTTCAACCACACACTGAAAACATTTTCATTGCCACTGCTTTGCTCAGCAGTTAGTAGAAGCATACTGTCTCATTAAAGACTATTGAAGGTGAATCACTTTCATATTATTGCGGATGTATAGAGTAAATATACATTCCAGTACATCCGGTGATACTTCAAATTACTCTGTCTTGCCAAATCTTTAAATTAAGCGTTGTCAGGAAACCTTGCACGCTGCATATAGTGAAGGCTTCGGGAAACCACACTGCATTCCATCTGCTGCCAAGCCCACAGTACAGAGCTGTAGTCTGGCTTCATTTCAAATATAAGAAAAAAATGCTGAATGTTTCTAATTTGTTGTACTTCTTACAGAAAAAAATGTGGATGTATACATAACAAAAACACAGCATATATATTTTCAAAGAACTAAAAGATAGCTTAATTCTTTGTCCGTTGCAACAAGAACAAGTATTTAAGTGAGAAGTCTATACTGGTATAACAGATGTTAATTAAAAACAAACAAACAAACAAACAAACAAAAACCAACAACAAAACACAACAACTCCACAACAGGTAATCTTTTATGCGCTTTTGTTTCTGGAATAATAAATCATTCATTAATAGATACAAACAAATCTTAAAGGGTTGGAGGACTTTTTGGGGGTTGCTTGGGAAATTCATCTCCTGCTGAAAATCAAAATGCACTTAAAACCAAAGGAAAACATCCAAATTATTTGAAGGGAATCTCTGATAACATAATAAAATCTTTTTGACTCAGTGCCTTTTAAAATAACTACCCAAAACCAACCACCCAACCATAAATAAAACGTCAAAAGAACAAAACCCACCCCAAAACAAATCTTATTTTATGGCGACAGAGCCAGTGTAGCATCAGCTTTTACACAGAAACATAAAAAGCAAATAAATGAAATGCTTGAGGTTATACAACAGAACAGATGCAGCCAGGCAGCCCTGTGCCAGTTACCTCCATCACCTTGACAGCCTCTATCCCACGTCTTCCTCACTCCTCCCAACTCAATAAATATCCTTAAAGAACCATCCCTTTCTCTCTGTTTTTACATGTTGAGGGGGTGGGCAAGAAATCAATTTCCCATACTTTTTTTTAATCAACATTTTTTCTCCCACTTAAAAAACAAACAAACATGCTCTATCTCCTTTTTCCAGGCCATGCAAAATACAGCTGCTGCTGTCATTATCTCCTTTTCTAACTAAGTCCACTTTCCAATTCCCTTAATTTGCTCTTCCTGTTATAACCAATCAACCTCAGGTTAGGCTTTATCATTTGCTCTACACAAACCTACTGCTCCCTAGTGAAATATTAAAACTCTCACTGGCTCTCTGATTTCCTTCCTAGGCTCTTTTGCTTTATTCAGGATTCTGGCTTGAGAGCTTTATTTTCCTCTACAACTATTCCCACGTTGCCCAATGCATTCCCCTGCAGCATAATGACCTCTCAGAACTGGACAGCATTACCTCCTTTTTAATTTTCTAAGGCAAACTTGTTTCTTCTACACCCAAAGAATGTTTCCTAGCAAGTTTTCCACATATTTTTTCTGCTTACTTCATTATAAACATTTTTTATTCTGTCAGGCTGCATATTACCCTCGTTAAATAACTGTACAATCCTCCGTTCTTTCACACTCGTGATTCATCTAAGTAATACTAGCAATTAACTCCTCCATAATGTTACTCCTTATACATTCTGGGTGTTAATTTGTATTCTTCAAGAACATAGTTAAAGTAACCTGAAAACATATTTTATGACAGCTTCAAGGTAGAAAGAGAGGAATAATAGAATATACAAAAAATGAAACAGCCAGTCTAGAGCAACAGTCATGTGATGTATAACAGCACCATCAACATAAACAAAAGTGTTGGGCTGTCACAGGCCTTGGCTTCACAAGTGGACAAGTCACCACTCTACAGCTGAATACAACTGTGGAATTCAGACACAGTAATTGGTGAAAAAAAATAAAAAATAAAACATTCTAAGAAGCTTAACATCATAAAATCTTTCTTCTCTTACACCGAAGCTGTTCCTTCTGCACTATTAACATCACAATGTATCAAAAAGCCATCAAAACCCCCAAAACTCATGGTTCAGCAAATGACATCTTTTTTTCCTCAGGACTACCAAAATCTTGTTATTGCTTACATACATTAGTGCCTACAGAGTCCATTAAAGCAAATGAATATATTAGCTATACGTGATGTAGTCTTCAGATGCTCATACACTTTCTTTAGGAAAATAGTTCTGTCCCCAGCTGCATTACATTCACTACTCGTAAATATGAGTAGTTAATGTTGAAGTACCACTGCTTAGCTGGCCAATTGTATCCAAGAGAAAGTGTATGAATTTCTCATAATATTCTGGGATTATCCAGGTATCCTATCTTCAATCCAGGATTAGAGAATCTGTAGTATCTTCATTTTAGAAGACTTTCATTTTAGTTTCTGAGGTAAAGAGGTTAGAATTCATATCAAGTAATGGTAAATATTGCTTTCCTTTACATACAAAGAGCACAAGGGCAAGTATTTCACATCTAATTTTAGACCCTGTACCAAAGCCGTTAGGCAGAGGGTTTTTCTCCATAGACAGAAAAGGAATATAAATGCCCTCTAGTGTGCTTAAGAGCCCATTTCTCATCACTGACCAGTTATGCAGTTTAGGGCAACAAAGTTCCAAACACCGGCATCAAAAATAAGGTCGGATGAATTTAGGCCAGAATCACATCATAATTCTGTGACAGAAATGGGTGTTGAATCCTAATTATTTAAGCCCACAGTCCACAATGACCTCCTTAGTTTCTACAGAAACAGAAAAAAAAAAACCACAACAAAAACAAAACAGAGAAAGATCTAGTTACCTACCTTATATTTCTGTGATTTCCCCAGTACATTTGCCAGAGAAAACATAAGGGAATGATCATTAGGTATTAACTCCAGGGCCTCTCTTCCAACTGCCTCTGCTTGAGCTAGATTGCCTGGGAGCCCACACAGTGGAAAAAGAGAAAGCATCTTTTAGCACAGCCTTACTAGCTACTTTTCATGCTGTAAGCACACGTATTTTGTGAATAGCTGATTACATGCATTTTTAAAGAAAACCAGGTATCTCAGACACAACAAAAAGAAATGCAAAGTCCTATAGAAGGAAATAACAGAAAACCTCCATTTTGTTTTGAACAAATGACACTTTAAAAAGGACAAAAACACAGGTTCCAAACTTCTGAAGTTTGGTCTATAATACACACATGCCTGCACACTGATGGCATCTCAAACAAGGATCAGAAATTCAAGGATCAAGTTTATGGGCTGGATTTTAAATTATGCTCTATAACCAGTGAGTTAGATGGTATTCTAATATTTATGAAGAGTAGCTTGATAGCTGCAGAAGAAGTCGAACTCCTTTTGGGTAAATACAGATCAAGCTCTGAGTTTAGCAAGACACTGAATTATTCATTAAAATATTCAAATGGGCATATACCTGTGTTATCAAGCAATATAATCATATTGTTCCAAGCCAAACTATGCTCTGGTTTCAGAACTGTAGCATTCCTCCAAGCATTCAATGCATCTACATGGCGATTCAAATCCGCATACTAAAAAGAAAGAAAACTCCAGTAATTTCACCCTGATTTACTTTCCTATTATGGACTAAAGGTACTAAATAGTTATTAGCCCTTCTCATATCATTCTAGCAGAGCTTGCTCTTATAAACAAAAATAAGAAACGTAAAAAGAGCACTAGAGTAGTATAGAAGACAGACTGGTATATATTAACATCACAGTTCCACGCTGCTCTTTCTCTGATAGCCAGGCTTGCTCTCAATTATGTTTGTACCACTAGGAAGGGGATGAAAACCAGCATGTAGTTTAGAACTCCATACAAGAGAACAAGTAAACATTTAATATAAATATTTCCAGGAATCTAAGCTTTTTTATTTTTTGTGTGGTTCTACTGCCTAACAATCTGTTGAAATACAAAACAAACTGCATCTATGTAAAACAGTCTAATATTGAGAAATTATTAAAATTATCTCTTAAAAAAAAGAGATCACAATCTACATATTTGTTTAGACCTCCCTATAAGGAAAAGTAGCATTACCAAATCTGACATGGAATTATAGTAAAGCACTGAAAATAGGAAATCACTCTGAAGTACACAACAAATAAACTAGAATAACTATAAGCATTTAAAAATACTGCAGAATTATATGCACACGCAAACCATGCTAATACTGATCATTTATTCAAACCACTCTAATAGTGATCGTGTATTCAAAAATACTTACCAACCGCCCTAAATTGTAGTAACAATCTGGGTACTTTTTTCTGTGTTTAATTGCTGTCCAGTAGCTTTGCTCTGCCTCTTCAAACCTTCTTAAGCTGTTCTGTACTATTCCCAGATTCATCCATGCAGCAGCAAAATCAGGTCTGCATAAATTGGAAAAAAAAAAAAAAAAAAAGAAACAAAAAAGAGGGAGTGATGATAATTGAGTGTCTAGAACAGAAGACCCCATTGTATGCCATTTCTGCTTAGCCAGTGAAAAACACTGGTTAGCATTGTTCTAAACATACTGTATTTGTACAGCTAAGGACAGCAACTCTTCTGCTTCTTGGAGTTCATTTCTTTCCTTCAGAATATTTCCAAGGTTGTTCATGGCATGTACGTATTTAGGGTTCAGCCTAAAATTTAAAATTGAAGAGATTATTATTATGTATGAGACACATTTCCGTATGCAAATTGTTAGCCCTTCATCTCTGCAGAGCATGAAAATGAATACCAAAGCATTTTCTCCTGGTTAAACATTAAAGCAATCTCAGGGTAGTTCAATAAAACAGCAAATTTTTAATACCTTACAGCTTCTCTGTAGTATTTGATTGCAGCACTTTGATTTCCTTTGTCAGCCAGGTTTTTGCCAACGTTGTAGTGTACCTGAAAACACAGATGAACATTTTAGCAGATGCTGTAGAGTCACATATTTTATGGATTTGTGTTGCTAAAAATTATTAATAGGTACAAATAAATACAGATCCAAACAGATACAGTCAGTACTTATGTCGATAACTGCTGATTTTTTGTGGTAGGTGGATTCTCCAGATTGGACAATATATGGAATGAAAGCTGTAAAAAACCAAAATCTTAGGAATAAATAAATTGGCTTACCTGGTCTAGCTAGTTAAGAAAGATTATTCACTTCCTGATCTTGTAAATAAGCTCAGCACACTGTCCATAAGACTCTTGATATGGAGACCTCTTACCCTCCATTTCTATTATTTGTCAGATGAATAATTCTGACTCATTCAAATCCACCACAGTAGAAGATAAACTACAACACTAAGCGTTGATTAAACTTCGCTTTTACCTCACTGTAAGCCAAGAGAAATTTGATATAAACTGAATAACAACCATTTCTCACCACTCAAAAGACCCAACTATTTTTGTTTCACTTTAACAACACATACCAAACAGCATTTCTGAAACAAACAAACAAACCAACCTTGACAGCATGTTGGAGACCCTTCCTGTTATATGCAGTTGAAAATAAGGGAAAGGTCTAGAGTTTCGGGATAACTACAGAGCAAATCCCTATGATTTGGATTTATGATAAGGATTCGATAGGAATTTCAGGATATTCATTTCAAATCCTATTTTAAGTCTACTGCCAGAAAACTACATTACCTGGTCAAAGGAATACTCAAGTTTAGAAATAAAAGTATTGTGGACACTAACTGCTGAAAATAGATTTCTCTGCAACTCGATCAGAATTCATGCTTTAAATTGCCTTACTATTTGAAATCAAAATGTATATACCACATCTAAAACAAACTTATACAATATCATTATTTCCACACCACAAAAATCTTATTTAAATCTCTTTGAAGAACACTATGCAGAAATTATTTTGATTGAAATACATAATGATAGGTTTGTAATAAATTTAGGTAGCTCTAATTCACCCTAAACATTCAGAAAAGGATTTCTGTCTCATGTGTCCAAAGTTTAAATTCTCACTGTGTTTGGCACAACACCTGGGTCCCGCTGATCCAGCACACACAGTTATGTTTGAACTCAATCGTTACAGCATTTTGTTGCTGAATACTATTTCTACATGACTGCAACTATACAGTACCATGCCACCAACAAATCAAGTTAAAATCATATTTCATGCTTTCTAAAATAAGTGAAAAAGTAGTTTCATTGGTTTTAAAGATAGTAAAAATGCTGTGAGGCTTACTAAGCATTCACAGAAGCAGCTCCTCGGGCTGTAAGATATAAAACAGCACACAGATTCAGCAACTCATAAAAGCAGTTCTAGCACAGCTTCCAAGGAAAAAAAAATAAAATATTCAGACGTTTCCTTCATACATTCAGAAAAAATATGACAAGGTCTACTTCTAACAAGCAAAAGGATGGGGCGTTTATATCAAGGCACAGACATTTATAAAAGTCAATTCACTGTGATAAAAAAAAAATAGCATAGCTTTCAAAGGGCCATTAAAGTAAAATAATACACCCTAAAGATGTTGCCCAGGACTGAGTGTTATTTGCATCTCTTCAAGAAATTTTTCAGCACATTATAACAGCATTCTTAGGAAACTGGATGGCTTTGATTATACATGCAGTGAAGTTTACAGATTCAAAATCTATTCAGAGATATTTAGGTTATTAAACTTTGCTGCACTTCCAGATAAAAGATAACTTTTAGCAAAACAGAAAGAAATAAAGGAAGCCAACTAAGGCTATGCTAACCAGATTCAGTTTCTTTCTCTAAAGTTTTACAAATGTCTTTTTCTTCACGCTGCTCATTTTGAAGACATCATAAGCACTAGTGCAAGAAGGAATTTGATTAAAGATGGAAGACAGAGCATATGAGAAAAAAAACAACTGTGTACACCACCCACTCAGTCTTAGAAACATATGTTTCAGTTGTCTTGTGTTAGGAGTCAGTCAGCATTTCACTTTCAGACTCTATTTTTGCCTCAGTTTCTTACAGTGCAGAACTCCCTGTAGTCCATTTCTATCTAAAAGAGCAGCAAAAAGCATATTCTTCTCATGTAAATAGGATTATTTAGCTTGCAGAAAGCCAAAAGATATCAATTCTTTCAAGTCAGAACGTCAAACGAAACATTAAGTGCACGTTTTGTGAACTGAATTAGGATGATCTATTACAGTATTAAAACAGATAACAAAGCTATTTAAATAAACTACTGCTTATTAAAACAATCTGTTTTTTTTTTTTTTTTCTCTCCATGATTTCTTCTATCCTCAGATAGTGTTTCTGTGTAAAAGGAACAATGTTTCAACAGTTTTCCAGAATATTAAGAGTTCCTTGTTGTACATGTTTCCCAGCTCCCTTCAGGAGAAATTGTAACCTTAGCTCCACTCTATATGCTGACAAAGAAGAAAGTAAGAGAAGAAAAATTACAGTAAGCAAACCAAAGGAAACCCTCAGACCACCATAAACTTCCAACAACAAAACAGCTTCAAAGTAAATTTGCAGGTGATAAACATGCAATAAAATCTTTATCTTAAGAACAGAATCAGGAATTGTTTTTAAGCATACAGAACCATTGGAAGGGTGCAGGTTATTCTAGTTATACGGTCACGTCTCTCACTTCCCTGGGAATTAGAGATGTCAAGATCAGCCTTTTGCCCTACTCACCTCAACCAGGTTTACAAACAACCTGCATGCCCTCTGCTAAGCACAGAGCTGTAGTTCTCTCTGATCTCTCCTACAATTCCTATCTATACAACACAGGGACACTTCCCACATACCCACAAGTGGCAGGTCAGTACGATGCTTTAAATTTAATCTCCAGAGACATGGTTCATTGGCTTTAACAGATACCACCCATGCCAACCTGGGAGAGGATTTTCCTTTCCTGATGAAACATTTAAGAACAGACATACCATTTCATTACTAAACGAGCACTAAAGATAGACATTAACTGAAAATGACACATTATGCCCACTTGCTCCTTTATCAAACTTAAACAGGTAATTACATTACAGTAATAGCTCTAAAATGAACATTTCTCAGAGATGCATAACAACACGGCATTCTCTGCAGCAAGGACCATTAAGAAAGAGTGATATACTAAAAATGCCCCATGAGAAAAGTGACGTGATTTCAACAGACAGCCATGTTTGAAGTTAACATAAGCGTGGCATCATGGCCTAGCACTGTGCTCTGTGTTTGTCTGCCCTTAATACCTCAATGGGTCTAAGATGTCATTATAAGAAAATAAAAGCACTGTGTATTATTGTTAGACACACATGATGCTTGAACTCTTACTTACACTTACTCAAGTGTTTAAATGTGCATACACATTAAAATGAGATAGAAAAAAAGAAAGAAAAGAACCCATTTTCCCTGTACAGAATCATCATTAATATCAAACTAATTTCTTGTTCCATCCCTGCCCTATTTCCTGCCTCAAACCAGTACAGGAAGAAATTGAAATGCAGTATCATCTAGGAAATACATGTAGTGCTCAGCTGGAGCACTGATTATCAACTATTTTATTCTCTCTTCCTCACTGCTTATAATCACCTTTTCAACAAATATGAACATTTGCTGAAAAGGATGGAAGCAGCTCACAGATGTCAAAATTTGTACAGAAACACACAGATGCTTCTGTTCAATGCTAGCTTTTCTTCCATCAAACACTCTTCTCTTTCCTCTGCTACGGAAATTATGTTTTCTAAATAAAACAATGCTTTCTTTCTTTTTTTTTTGATCTCTTTGTTTGTGCAGCTAGTATCTTCTAAGGGTTCTTCTGCATTACTACACTCATATACAAAGCACATATACTCATATACTCATATTATGACATCTAAGACGTTATCCATGCAACAAAACACCAGTTAACCTCTAAAAATATAACTGACAGCATTTAAGGTATCCTTTTCAAAAGATAAACCCCTTTTAATATCCAACATAGAATTCTCAATATCTAAAGGAAGTTCTCTCTAGATCTGCTTCATAAAACCTTAAAAGGCCATCAATCGTGTCCTGATGCAAAGAAGTTTTACAAGGCTTTTTAAAAAAATAGAGAAAATAGCCTTAAAAAAAAATCTGTTGTTTATTTTCAGTATGAGAATAGATTGTCTTTGACAAACTTGTCCCCCTGATAAAAACAGTTTGCATGAAGCATCAGGAACAAAGCTACAGAATTACAGAATTGTAGGGGCTGAAGGGACCTCTGGAGATCACCAAGTCCAACCCCTCCTCCTAAGGCAGGCCCCCTACAGCAGGCTGCACAGGTTGGTGTCCAGGCAGGTCTTGAATATCTCCAGAGGAGACTCCACAACTTCCCTGGGCAGCCTGTTCCAGTGCTCTGTCACACTCACTGTGAAGAAGTTCCTTTGTATATTGGTACAGAACTTCCTATGCTCACCACCCTTAGTATCTCAAGGCAGACTAGTTAGCAGCGCATTCTGTTCAGAATGCCATAACTCCCTTGCTAAGTATTACAGAAATGTTGCTACTTAAGTGAATTAAAAAGCAACAACAACAAAAACCCAACAAGTTTATTAAATTACATGCTGCAAAGGGAAAAAAAACAAACTTAGTACTAAATAGAATGTACAGACGATGTACAGATTGTTAACAATTTACAGTCATTTAAGTTATTTCCAAATCTACGGAAAAAAAAATGGTCAGTCACTGTGGCTGCTATTTTCCATATACTTCATTACATTATTGCACCTTTATTTATATAATCAATTAAAAGTAGTCATCAAAAATAGGCACTGCCTGTGAATTCTTAAATTGTCACGGCTTTCCTGAAAAACAAGAAGAAGCATTTTGAACAGTAACTTAGTGCAGAAAACACCAGTGAGATGAGCATCTTCAGGACAGGAATATTCTTTAAAATTGAAAGAGAACAGCATATAACAACATCAGAGAGTGAGAAGCAATACAATGATGCCTAGAGATGGTGAATGGCACTAGGACAAGGGCAAAATCTCACAACCTTATGTATACACAACTGAGGTAGTTCTGAGACCTTTCAGTGGAGAGAAATACACAGAACAAGGTGCAGTCCTTCTGCCCTGCATCAGTCAAGTAGCTCAAGATGATGACAAACCACGTGATAAAAGGGACAGTTTCTCCTCTCCAGATATAAAGGAAACCTGACTCGCTCAGATGTAGATGTGTAAACCTAAGGGGATGAGTACCAAGCCAGTAATCTGATATGCTCAAACTGCAGTTGGGGTTTTATCATAGCCTGTAATCAGATATTCTAGTTCTTCAACAAAGCACTTATGGATTAGCTTGCAACACACTGGCATCAATGAAAAGACTCAATTAAATCCATTGAGTCTTTCCTAAGCCACTAGCACTCAATTATTTGAAACTGATGAACTACCTGCAACATGTCACCATCAGAAAAGAGTTTATGTAACTGTTTACAAAATTTGCTTTAGTAGAGACAAGACTGGCCTGGTTCTAACTCACACTAGTCCATTCCATCACTGAGCTCAAGGAATTCCATGAATCTATACTGCATGAAAAAATGTGGTGATATTAAATATATATACCTGCACCTCCTGCTTGTCTAGGCAAAATACTGCCATATGTATATACTGCTACAGTCTACGAATCTTTCAACCCAACTTAAACACAGGACCAAGCAAGAGCGACATACTCCTGGACACAGCTCTAACATTCTTTTTTCTCTTTCTCGCAAATAAATAAATGCACATGCGTACGTACATTTAAAATAGATAACATATACTTTTCTGTATTGTGAACTTTAAAAAATAAATCAAAAATCTTTGCATCCTCATTATGGTACCTGATTACTTCCAATACATATCAAAATTACTGGGCCATGTCTATCATTAATTTCACCTTCTTGAGCCAGATATGTCCATCACTCAAGGGGTAGATTTGCTACTATGCCAGAGGATTTGATTTATTGCAGTTTCCATATCTCTGTCTAAGAGAGATGTTTAAGGAATGTGAGTGTGAAACTAAAGAAGGCAATATTGTAACTACTTGTTACTTAGAATTATGCTAAATTTACCTTACGCTGCTCGCATACAGACAATTTGGAACTGAGAAGAGCTGTACTAAAAAAGCTGCAGGTCTCATTGGTATTTGGGAGACACCTGGAGATTTTGGAACCCTGCTACAAAATGGAATTAAAGCATGACCACTTAACATAAATCAAAGACGTTCTGAGAAAAATAGAAATGTTATCATCTGCATTCCATCTTTTGGTCTGAATCATTCTGCCACTGAAATAAAGGGGCCAATGAAGAGTGCTGTGGAACTAGTTTTAAAGGAAGTCTGCAATTTCTTTTGACAACAACAGAAGACTAAAATAGAACATAGTTCCAACTTTTACATTTATCTTCGCTAAAATTGACTAGATGTAGCTAATCCATTATGAAAAAAAAAAAGAGACTGGCTCTTACAAATGGGTTCTCTATTGTTCTTGGCTAGTCAAGTTCCCTAATACCGCAACTTCAAAGTTACTCATTAAAGAAGTCTGGAATGTGAGTCTATAAAAACCTTCCTGTTCACATCCTCATGCTTGCTATTTGTGCAAGCTGTCACTAGTATCAATACAGCCCAGGCATGTCTACATAGCCTAGTGTTGACAAACACAAGCTCGTTTTTCCTGTACACTCATTGGCTTTGAACCAGCTGCATTAGTTCAGTAGCTTGCACACAGCTTATCGGCTCAAGCACAGCACTGTGCAAACACAGCTACACAGCTTCCCAGCCAGACATGGCTGCTGTCCAAGGACCTTGGAGCAGAGGCAAAGAGTGTAGATCTGTCTAAAGCACTCGTACCATAGCAGATGGATAGAACTACACACGAAAAAAGCAGACTGCATTTGCTCCATTTACAGTATGTACTTGTCATTCAGCAGACAAGATATACTGAAGTCATAATAGAAGAGAGGATGGTTACTTACCACTGCCACTGTAAAATACAATAGCTCTTTTCCTATGTATCGAAATCCAAAATTGTTTTAAGACATAACTATGTTGTAAATATTGACCATCAATGCTTTTTAGATATCACCTCGGCACGTTTCTATTCCAGTAGATGCTAAATTTGTCATTCTCTTCACAAAGTTCAGCATTCACAGGTATCTGTTTAAATTCTGTATCTTGATCTGTATTTTCTATATTCAACTTCAGACTACAGAAATCTAATTTTGCAAAACATCCATGTGTTGTTATTAACAAGCTGTTGATTCCATTCCCAGGCTTACTGAAGATAGTCTGTTCTAAAATTCAGACAACATCAAGGCTATGTGGTATAGTCCAAAAGATCCCAGTAAAGATGCCTGCAGGCAGGCTAGATTCAGTCTACTATGCCAAACACTGATGTTCATTCAGTGCAATGAAACATCAATCCCACCCCTGCCTTTTTCTCTCACTAAGTCCTGAAAGAAATATTGCAGTTTTCCTTAATGTCTGTGTCTGAAGCCTAGCTCATTCAGCCACTGTAAAAGAGAAGAAGCAGGAGCAAAGATTTTATTCTGTCTTGCAGACACACAGATAATGTTTCTTTCTGCCTTAGCTGTGTTGGTTATATATACCACTGGAAGGATTCTAAAAATCACAGTATAGATATTATTTAGATGAGAACACTGCAACCTAAACTCTCTCAGATATTTTGCTGTAATAACCTGCAATTGTATAATCAATTCTTTTAAGAGATTTTTTTGACACATGATTTGAGTAAATGCCCTTTCCTGGAGTATAGTCCCCCTTCTTTTCTCCCTCCCCATCCCCATTCCCCAAGTTCTGAATTACAACTGAAGATAATACTAAACTGTAATTTTTGCTGTCTGCTATTTCAATTGAGTTAATACCATCATTTAAGGTGTCTGATAATGTCATACTCCTGGCCCAGTGAAAATTGTGAGGTCTACTATACCCACAACACACTGACTGCACATAGGACTGCCTTCATTTCAAAATTCAAAGCATTTTTTAAAAACATAAAGAAAGAAAAAAGGTTAAAACTGACTTACTTTTGCATTGAGAGGGCATACAGACAGTGCACTCCTAAAAAGCTGTTCTTCTGACCTCCACTGACTGCTGCGGAGTGCACAGCGCATAATGTTCATCAGTAAGATTCCAAGTACTGCCACAGCAAGAATTTTCTTAACGAAAGAGAGACAAGTTAAGAATCAAATCACTCAATTGAAGCACTTCATCATCAGCTTTGCTGACTGTTTTGATGGTACCTTTTTCTTGGCTTGCTTACTCAAGAGACTAAATCCATATGTAAACAGAATGCAATAGCCAATACTGGGGAGGTAGATGACTCTCTCTGCAACAACAAATCCTACACGGAAGAACAGGTTGCTTGCAGGAAGAAAAGGGATAATAAGAAATCCAAGTCCCAGTGTAAGAATTCTGCAAACAAGAAACAAGATTATCAGATTAGCCATAAAGCTTAATAAAAATTTTTCATTTAACATACAACATTTATTTTAAAAAACCTAGGAAAAAAGTGCAAATGGAGCAGGGCATTCAAAAGCAGCATTTGGGAACCACATTAAAAAGTCAGATTAGGCTTCAGTAAGATTTTGACACTTCACTCTATTATGCACTTTTAAAACCTTAGCTATAATTACCAGAAAAGCAAACTTCATGCTTCAAAACTGCAAAATAATCCCATTAAGTATTAATTATGTAATATCTATTTAAAATATACAGGTAAGAGAGCTAATGATGAAAGCTACCTGTCTGGGTTTGGAACTAATAAGACCATAAAAAAGGGAAAAATATATCAGGTCACTTAAAGAAATAACTTACATATGTTTCCAACTGAGAGCACTGTTTTTTTTTTTTTTTTTTCTCCCCCTAACAACAAGATTAATAGAATAGAATTGTGTTTAACCACATACAGTCTATATCTACACTCCTTCCACAGTCAGTGGAGAGAGGCATTTCATCTTCCTTGCTTTAGGTATCTATATCAGGAATGAGCAACCCTCAGCAGGTAACTGAGGAAGACAGAGAACTTAGACAACTGAGAAAACTGAGACAAGGTACCTTACAGAAAGGATCCTTACGAAGGATTAATGAACACCACATCTGTGTCAGGCCATGGGCATGGTTGTTGTGTACTCAAATTTATTGCAACTAAATCTCTATACTGTAATGTATACAACAAACCTACAGTAAGGAACTTGTTAGTTTTCTCCCCTCTCAGTGTCCATGGCCTTCACTACTTGGTTTTTACTTTTTACTAAAAAATGGTTCAGCAATATTGGCTTCATTTTTTTTTTCCTAGAGAGTACGATGACACTTATAACAAGATTCAACTCCTCTCCAAAATGATTTCAGTTGTACAAATTACAAATCAGTACAGAAATAAAGAAAAGGAAGGTTAGTCTTTGAAGAGACAAGCAAAGAAATGAAGTTACAGAATACCTCAGAAAGAAAATGGAAACATTCAGTACTTTGAAAAAAAAGGATGATCTCATTGTGACTGAGCTGCTAAAAAATGTGAAGGAGCTGAGAATTAATTATACATAAAATCCAAGGAAACAGAAAAGCTAACAAAAATTAAGCTGAAATCCTCAAGTGAGACAGCATAGTTAACAATATAAATATATTTTTAGTTTCTTTTGGTAAAGTACAAATCATTTCTTCAGTAGATACAGTGGGTCAGTATTTTATTTATTAATTGTGTGACTAGCATTTGTACCTCCTGTCAAGGCACATCTCTCCTTTTCATTATTAAGAGAGGGGATTAAAAGAGATGATGACTTAGAAAAAGTGATGTCAACAACACACTGCTCTGTTCTGAACACAGATTACTTCTTACCACCTACAGTGCCATTTCAGGAGAAGAATAAAGCAGCCATCCATATTTCCCCCTCCAAGTGTTTCCCACTAGTCGGTGTACAGTGATGGACCCAAATTGGGATAAAATTGTAATGACAGCTATAAATATTTATTTGAACTGCATTTGCTAGACACTGGTTCCACTGAATTGTTAAAATTATCAGTACTGGATTTAACAAAATAATACAGTACTCAAGTTGTCCAGCCATTTAAAATTCATCACTGTCTCTTACCTTCTCTTATAGCTGTCTTCTGAGTACAGAGCTTGGCATATCAGGCCAATTAGGCAGAACCAAAGTGCTGCTAGTGCAATTATCCTCCAGTCACTGACGGATTTAATGAGGGGTATGCAACCCATTGACCAATCAAAGCACAGCCACCAGGGACACAACAGCAACCATGCATTCAGCGAATAGTAGTAATTATAGTTTATAGCCTGTCAGTCAAAAAGAAAACAAACATTTATTTGATACTAAACTTAAGTGTGAGGGGAAGAAACTTCAGTTCTTTTCTACCATTTTTGTTATTGCAAAACATTGCTTATAAAACAGGCCTTAAATCCTTAAATTCTGTTAGGTTGCATCTAGCTGTAGACCATATATGTTACAGCTGTGAAATTAAGTTTTTTTTTTTTTAAATACAGCTGTGAGGCTCTCCTCAGAGAAAAGAAACAGAGTTCTATACTGTACAATCAACATCCACTTGCAGAAAGAATTTCTCACATGACAAGAAAATGCCAAAAAACAACATCCTCATCTCCAAAACCCAGACTTAATAAAGTTAGAAGCATACAGCCAAAACATACTCCAAATGCACCAGACCAGAACTTTATGCTATTTTCTTCAATTGTAAAGATGAAGAGTCAAATACAGTATGTGGAAAAATAACGAAATGCAGCAAAAGCTAACTGCTGGCAAGCATGAAAAAAGTAGTGAATAAATGGAAACATTCAGTGTGTGCAGCACATACTAAATTGAATGCAAAGAATATTCAAGGTGTAGGTTTTAAAAAAAACAAAACAGTGGCAGAAAATCACAAAGCACAAGGGAAGTGACTCATTACACATCTCACAACATAAAGATTGCCCATTTTGTTTCTTTAAAACACAAAATAAAATTTAATTAGCTGACCAAGACAAAAGTTCTAAGCATGTCAGAAAAAAATTAGTAAAAATCAGCATCATAACTTACTCTCACAAACAAACTATCTGCAAATGAAGCTGGATTGTCTACTTCAGTAAAAGCTGGTGGCCCTGTGCCCATAATCCTCCAGCGTATATAAAGTATACCAGCCCCTCCAGACATCAGAAGAGTTATTCTGAAAAGCAGCCCCTTTCTTAGCAGACCAGCACTCTACAGAAAAGAAAGAAAGAAAGAAAAAGCATTTAAAAACAAATACTTTCTTCTTCTCCTTATTATACTCACATCCTTTTGGCCACCCATTTCAGAGAAGTTATTAATCGACATTTGCCTTACTTTCGCAGTTACAAGTCAAACTTCACTATAGTGTCTCTCTAACTCCCTGTGTTACAGCGTTGTAGGACTCTCTTAAAGCTTCCTAAAACCTGATGGTTGAAATTAATCTAAGCAGCCTCAATAAGTCCTAAGAGAAGCAGACTGAAGGCAAGAGTTTCTCCGAAATTAGGGGTCATCTGAACCACTTCCTTCTCTGTTGAACATATCTGAAGATGAAAACATTGGTAAACAGTAGATTTTTACATGAAGGTGTTGACTGGATCCTGAGAAATGTGGTCACATGATCTGAAGTATTAGCTTTCCTTTATCCGTATCTTCCTCCTTTAGCCTGATATGCTTTAAATACTGTATTCCCTTTAAAAACTAGTTATACATGATCTGTTCTCTGTGTCCTCCATAACAGCTAGCATGCTGCTTATTACCATCTATGATTGAAATACACTGATTAGCAAGCATCACCATAATTACTTATGAATCAATACTAGCTTTTTCTGAAAACTATGAAAAAAAAAAGTCTTATTGAGCAAGAGATCTAGCAGTGTCCTGGCTGAAGGTATTTATTCTCTAAAATGATGGAAAAGTTAAGTTTCAAAGAGATACTCAGATGAGTTTTAAATATTTGTAGCTGACAGTGGAATCATCATAAAATATTTAGTTAAATGCATACGGAAATAAGTTTGTAATGGTGAATTTATATAAGCTAGCCTTTGTGCTCAGATGACTATTTCCAATTTGCACGTCAGTAACAGAAGTCATTACAATGAGGATTCAAGCAAATCATTGTTAAATACTTTTTTTTTTTTTTTTTGAAAAAAATTGTGTTGTGAAGGAAAACTGCATTGTGATAATTTATATGTCTTATTACAAAGCAATTACGCTAAAAGTGTCATCCCAGGCTTAATTTCATTTAATGGCACATGCACCTTCCAAAAGGCCACACTTCACAAACCACAAAATCTCTTAGTAAGCAGGATTTTAGAAGTGGGAGAAGTGTTACCACATGTCTTATTGCCTTTGATTTAGAGCTTACTGAAATCTGGCATCAAACTGAAAGTAGTCTCTCAAATCAAGAGGGCAAAAAAAAAGTGTGCAATTAAAAATTTATGACTTGCCTTTCAACAAGACAAAACAAATGAAATTTAAATACACTTAAATGAAAAGACCTTGACACTTTTTTTTTTTTTTTTTTTTTTTAAGTTGCAGGAGCTAAAATTAATTACTTTTATGTGAAGATGATAGAGAAAAGACATATTCTATGTTTTCCTCACCCAGACAGCTTGAAGATCACAAAACAGAAGTATATTGCTTGGAGCTGTTCATGCTTAATGAGTAATTCTCCAAAAAAAGTTTGACCCTGACACATTTCCATCACTTTAATTTTGAGCTGGATCTACTTTAGTTCCGTACAACTCTAGGCTCCTTCCTTTTCTTATGCTGGTTGACATTATTGTCATTATACAACTCGATTCCTCAGTATCCTTGCTTGCTGACATATTCTTGTACCTTTCATCCATTCCTTGCCCAAATCTATTGTTTCAGTTCTGAAAATTCCACTTTCACCAATTTCCCTGCAAAGATTCTTAAGAACATTGCCACACTTCATGAAGCAATTTAACAGTCCCATAGGACTTGTGCTGCTTAGAAATACGAGCAAGAGTTCTCCACAGTGAAACTACCAATCAATGTAAATTCCAATGAACATACATTCCCTTTGCCTTGCTGAAGCTTGCATGGGAGAGGCAAATGATTCAGCTGTTTAACAGTAGTGATGTTCTAGTAGTCTGTTGATCTATTTGGCTGCTATCAATTGCTAACCTCATTAACCATGACTGTTTTTGTGATTTGCTTATGATTATGATCTCTCAACAAATAACTGGTGTGAAATTCCATTTGATCCTATACCAGTTAAAGCAGTATCAGTAGAAGTACATATTTATCCTTAGTATCTATCAGAGCTTGAATAGTTCTACTTTCAAATCTCCAATCCACTATAAATTCTCTCCTGTTTAGTAATTCATATGCTAAAGAAAAGAATACAATATTTTAGTAGAGTTGGGAAATGGCACATAATAATATTTTTACATTATTTTTCTAATGTCTATTTAAGCACCTCATGAATCTGAATAAATAGCTCTACCTATGCTGACTAAGCTGTGTTTAATAATCATTCAGGAGTTCTATTGCTTCTGTAGAACTTGTAGCATCAGGCAGTTCATCCACAACAGTTTTAAGATACTGATGTGAGAACCTGTAGAAAGGCTTTTTGTCTTCAATGCATTTCTAATGTAATACCATTATTACTCACATTGCTACAAAGATTTAACTGCACAATTGACTTACTTAGCTGGCTGAAAATCCATAATTTTTCTTTAATTCCCAGCAACAACAAAACTGACAGAAGTTCTCTCTCTTTCTTTTGGTACATGATTGACCAGCAAGAATGAACAAAACCTCTAAGGACTCACCTCCATTAACTTGTCCTTACGTAGTAATTTTTGAATGAACTCCAAAATATTTAACTTGTTAATCACCAGTGCATCAAACACTGCATTCAAACCCTAAACAACCAAAAAAAAAAAAAAAAATTAAAAATTAAAAAAAGGTAAATAAAAAGTAAGATGAGGTAGCTACCCAAAAAACAATTAAAAAAAAAAATACATCTTATATTCCACTTCTACATTTTACATCTTATTCCTGATTCCAAACAAGTGAATAACAGATATGTTGCTAATAAGATGGCAGAATGAGAAATTAAGAACCTGAGCTCAGATGAGTGGAACATCACACTATTGTAATAGACAGGCTTTTGCTATATCCAATAATGTTGCAGGGACACCATGTACCAGCAAACTATGCCCCATATGGTTACAACAGTTTCAAACTATTTATCTGTTCTCAGACTGCTTTCCCAAACGTTCTGCAGTGTAAACACAACAGTTGAAAGGCATGGCTTATATTAAGGTGAAGTTTCTTTAAGCCTTTTACACACACACACACACACACACACATTTTTGAGCAGCATGGTATCTTTTGACTTCCAGCTTTCAAAAATATTATTTTTTAAAGATAAATTGATTGCCACAACAACTAAAGGCTCAGAGATTTTATCAGGCTTGCTTTTTTTGCAATTACATCAACACATACACTGGAAGTTGCTGAAAAAAATGAGAAGTTCTATATCAGCCACTACACATAAAGCTGAAGTATAAGTACTGCTCTTCAGGACTGTACTTTTTTGTTTCCTTGGGTGGAATGTGCATAAAATAGATCCAGAGGTAATTCTTTTGAGGTCAATGAGGTAATTCTGTTGAGGTCAATGTTAAAGTACAACTTCAACGTCCAAGCAATCACCAACCATGACAATTCATGAATACTTAGTCTACATCCTATTACCTTTGGAAATTACGTCAATAAACTAAATGGAAAAAAGTAGTCAGTAAAAACAGTATCAGGCAAGGAAGGAGTTAGAACAAAGAGGAACCACCATAGGGAAAAGCGAGGAGATAGGTTGGAGTGTGGCATGGTTTCACATAGAGAGGTCAGCTGGCAATTACAAGGCTTTTGTATCAATTACATGGAGATTAAAAACGTAAGAATCTAACTGAAAAATACATTCAGCCTAGAAGCAATCTTTTTAATATATGATTTATCCTTTCATCCCTTTGACCCTTGTCCCTTAACACAAGAATAAATACCATCATCTTAGCAATGCAAATAAATCCTAGCAAACGAATAAAAAAATCCAGATCAAATACAAATTCTGTGTCTTCTAACTCAAATAATTACAGAATCACAAGTCAGAGGGATTGGAAGGGACCTCTGGATCATAGTCCAACCCCCCTGCTAAAATGGATTTTCAAGAGTAAGTTACACAGAAAAGTATCTAGGCAGGTTTTGAATATCTGAAGAGAAGAGTCCACAGCCTTTCTGGGAAGCTGTTCCAGTGCTCTGTCACCCTCAAAATGAAGTTTTTCCTTGTATTCAGGTGGAACTTCATCTGTTGCAGGTTGCGTGTTACCCCTTCTCCTGTTGCTGGACACCACCAAAAAGCCTGACCCCATCCATTTGACTCTTGCCCATTAGATATTTACACATATTGATCAGATCCTAGTCTTTTCCAGGCTGAACAGCCTCAGGTTTCTCAGCCTTTCTTCATAAGGGAGATACTCACGGCCCTGAAACATCTTTGTGGCTTTTTGCTGGACTCCCTCCAGAAGTTCCTTGTTTGTTTGTTTGTTTGCTTGTTTTGGTTTTTTTTTGAACTGAGGAGCCCAGTCCTGGTTACAGTACTCCAGATGTGGCTCACCAGGGCAGAATAGAGGGGGTGAAAACCTCCCTTGACCTGCTGGCCATGTTCTTTTCAATGTACCCCAGGATACCATTGGCTTTCCTGGCTACCAGGGCATACTGCTGGCTCATGGCCAACGTGTTGTCCACCAGAACACCCAGGCCACTCTCTGCAGCAGGTCAGCCCCTAATCTGTACTGATGTGTGTAGTTATTCTTCCCCAAGTGTAGGACTCCACACCTGCCCTTGTTGAACCTCATCAGCTATGCCCAGTTCTCCATCTTGTCTAGGTCTCGCTGAATAGCAGCACAGCCTTCTAGTGTGCCAGCCACTCCTCCCAGATTAGTATCATCAGTAAACTTGCCCTTCATACAAGTCATTGATGAAGATGCTGAACAAGACCAGACCTAGTACTGACCTCTGAGGAATGCTGCTAGCTACAGGGCTCCAGCTAGACCCTGTGCCACCGATCACAACACTCTGAATTCTGTCAGTTATCCAGTTCTCAAGTCACCTCACTGCTCACTCATCTATCCCACACTTCCTAAGCTTAACTGCAAGGATGTTTTGGGAAACAGTGTCAGAAGTCAAGGTACACAACATCCACTGCTCTTCCTTCACCCACTCAGCTGGTCGTGACATCACAGAAGGCTATCAGGTTAGTGAAGCCATGTTGACTATTCCTGATAATCTTTTCTTTGACTTCCTTGGAGATGACATCAGGAATAAGCTGCTCCATTACCTTCCCAGGAACAGAGGAAAGGCTGGCTGGTCTGTAGTTTCTTGGCTCCTCCTTGCCCTTCTAGACATTGGCTTTCCTCCAGTCCTCAGGCACCACTTCAATTCTCTGTGACCTTACAAAGATAATAAGAGAGCAGAATGGCAAACATTTCTGCCAGTTCCTTCAGCACATGGGTGCATTCCATTGGGGTCCATGGATTTGTATATGTCTAGTTTCCCTGCATGACCCCTGACCATGTCCTCTTTGATCAAGGGGGTTTCCCTTTCCCCAGATTCTCTCTTACCTCCAGGGTCCAAGATTCCCAAGGAGCAGAGACTGAAGCAAGAGAAGGCGTTTGGTATCTCTGCCTTCTCAGTGTCCTTCGTCACCATAGCATCCACTTCATTCAGTAGCAGACCCTATTTTCCCTAGTCTTTCTTTTGCGACTTAAATACCTAAAGAAGCCCTTGTTGTTGTTCTTGACCTCCCTTGCCTTCCTTGTTGCATCCCTGCATGCCCTGACAATGTGCTTATACTCCTGCCAAGTGTCCAGACCCCTTTTTCACATACCATAAACTTTCTTCTTCCATTTGAGTTTTTCCATAAGCTCCTTTGCTCATCCATGGGGGACTCCCGCCAGCTATGCCCGACTTCTTATTCTTAGGAATGCACAGACCTTGAGCTTGGAAGGAGTGGTGCTTGAATGTCAACCAGTTCTCCTGGGCCCTTATCTCCCAATGCTCTAATCCATGTGAATCCTCCAAGTAGGTCCTTGAATGGGTCAAAGTTGCTTCTCCTGAAGTCCAGGGTTGCATTCCTACTTATTACCTTCTTTCTTCCATGTAAAATCCTGTATTCCACTGTCTCATGGTCACTGCATCCAAGGCTGCCACCAACCTTTATGTTCCCAAACTGTCACTCCATATTTATAAGAACAAGGTTCAGCAACACACCTATTTTCACTGGCTCCTCCTCTACCACTTGCACCAGAAAGTTATCATCCAAGCACTGCAGGAACCTTCTGGACTGTGTGTGTGCCTGGCAATGTTCCTTTTCCAGAAAATATCAGTGTTGTTGAAATCCTCCGTGAGAACGGAGCCTGAACTCATGAAACTTATGTCAGATGTCTGTAGAAAGCCTCATGAACTTCCTCCTCCTGATCAGGCAGCCTGTAGTAAACACCCACAGTTATGTCACCCATGTTAGTCTGCTCCTCAGATCTCATCCATAAGCTCTTCGCCCATTCATCACTCATCCTTAGGCAGATCTCAAAACATTCCAGTTGTCTGGTTATATAAAAAGCAACTCTACCATCTTGCCTTGCTGGCCTGTCTTTCCTAAAAAGTACATAGCTGTCCATGACTGCATTCTAGTTATGCAAGCTGTGCTACCATGTCCTAATGATCACAATAGGATTATGGTCCTGCGACCACACGCAGGTCTCTAATTCTTGTTTGTTTCCCAGGCTGTGTGCAATGGTACACAGAAAAGAAAAGGGAGTTGAGGATGCAAGTTTCCCTAGAGGGATGGAATTAACTTACACCATTAGAAGACATAATCACAGAATGTTTTAAGAATATTTCTTAGGTTATCCTCACATATGTTCTCACAAATACCTTTGAAAAAATGCATCAGCCTGCAAATGTCTGTCTGAAAATAATGTCCTACAGGAAGACGGTTTCAGTGATTTCTTCTACAATTTTTTTTTCTAAGGACAAGAATGTCCTTGCTGCAAATAGTTCTTCTGATTCTGTTGCTTTGTTTTATGTCAGTCAAAGCACCAAATTAGATTTACTTACACAGATATACAACTACATAAAAGGTATAAATCACAGGTGCAGCATTTCAGGTGGCTTACTGGATCCCTCAAAATGGAGCATCTTCACTTAAGTAACAGAAAGCTAGAGGACAATGAATTTGAAAAGTAACTGTGCCTGTTTGCATATACAGTTCCTTAAATAGGGAACAGAAAGAAAAGACTCAGCGTTAGAAATAAATAATGACCCTACTTCTAATTAGAATGTTCAAAAAAAAGCGAGAAGGTGGAGCTTCTAAAAATACTCTCCTCCAATTACATCTTTGTTCATGGCCTCCAAGAGAGGCCTGTAGATTCACTATCTCAACAATTATACATTGAAAAACAAGGCCAATGAACATTGACACACAGTGAAACTAACACTGCTAATCTTTCAAGTTTTGCAAGAAATTAACAGATACATGCAAACTGCTTACAAAAGATAAAATGAATTTACAACATATGGGCTATGGAGACACAACCAATACAGCTCTATTAGAATATTGCTAGTTTGCTGAAGAGAACAAAAAGGTATGTGATTAGTTGAGGAGAACATTCATCTTTGTACACTTTACAACTGCACCTGACAGATGCTGAGGTCAAAATTCAGTCAGTAAGAGGATTCTTACCAGTATTGTAATTCCTTGCTCTTTGCACAGCATGGCTATTGCACCTAGGAGAACACTCACCAGCACCCAGAATACAGAAAAATTATGTCCTTCCTTATCTGTCAAAATAAAGCATGTCATAATATTAGGTATATACATTTAAAAGTTAAAGTTAGAAATTAAAATTAGAATATTAAAAAAAAAAAAAAAAAAAAAAGAAAAACAAAGAAATAAAAGGAAAACCAGCATTTAATCTCACAAGATTTCCTGTTAGTCAAAAACTAGTTACGTAGACTTGAAAAGCATGGGGTGCCTCCTGTAATATGCTGGCATTCATCCATTTATTGCAGTCTTTTTCTCTTCTCTGAGACATTAGAAATCTCCCCATTTGCTAGGTGTCTTAGCCAGACTAATTAGAATGGCAGAAGCTTCACATAGTTTTCACAATCTATCATCTGCAAAGGTTAATTCCCAAGACTTGGATCCATTTATCTTCCTTAGCTACAACTCTAATATTAGTGGCTACTCTCTTCCAAGCTACCACAAGAACATGAAGTTATTTCTAATGGTTACATATGAAGCAGCACCACACAAACTCCTTCAACAGCAGTCTAATCTACACAGGCACAATGAGTCGCTTTTCCAGGGCTGCTGCATTTAGCAAGTGCTTCATGTCATTTCATTAGCACTACCACAGAATGCCACAGAGCTCAATAATTCCAGCATCTGAGCAGAGAAACAGTTCTACGACTGGGTGAAGAACTGTGGGGTTAAGAGATCAAGAGATCAAGAGATCAAGATCAACAGCTTCTAGTCAAAGAAAGAATCTTTAAAGACCACACCACGTAGCTGCTTTTGGGTTCTACAAGCAGGCATTTCTGAGATTGATATAACAATAAGCCTTACTACAGTCACGGTATTACTGCACACACAGTACATGGGTACTTCACACAAAAACATATCTGTCACAATCTCTACTCCACAGGTTAAAGCAACAGAGGGAAGCACTCAGCTTATTCAGAGACATATTCTTGATTCAAGCAACATGGGCTCTGTAGGCAACACAAGAATCCACCTTTCATTTGGCCTGTGAAGAAACAAAGCTGAACTCTATATTCATTGAGTGAACCCTTTTTTAATATATTTTCCTTGATCTCTAGAGTTGTGCTTGCCTACTGTTAATGCAGGTTTGACCCTCAGTACTTAGTCTGAACTATCATAATGTTCTACAGAGATGACAAACGACAGAAATAAGATCTCATTCACTAGAAGTAGGCACCTACATCTGAGAACAGAACAGAACAACATAACAGAACACTAAGTGTAGTTTCTAATTGGTTGAAAGAGAGAGACCCCTTTAGGGATCTAGTTACCTACCTAATTCAAGTTCAGAGAAGTAGCTATTGCTCTTCACTGATGATAAAGTGAAACTAGTATACTAACTCAGATGATGTTGGTGAGTAAGATACAATCACTACAAGTATGAAAAGGACCTATTGATATTGGTCTCATTTTGGGGCAGTGTACTTTTGCAGAAGATAGTAAAAGTTATGAAGAATAAGTTTTGAAGTTGCTTCTAGCATTCCTTTCTTACCTAAGACTTAAAAGCTTAAACTGAGTGAATATTAAGATGTTTACAATTTATCTTTGAAATAAAATATAGCAGGCATATGTTTCTTCAACCTCCATCTCAAATTACATCCTTATAGTTGAGGTAAGAGTAGATGTCAGAGGTGCAGATGTCAAATTGAAAAGAAAGCCTTCTAAAGAAGTCATATACATGTCAATGACAACAAAACAAAACATGAAATACAAAATATATAACAGCTGAAGAAAAGTTGTAGTGACAAGAACAAAAAACGCAATGAGGAGATCCCAGCTGACATCAAATGCACAGAACATGTTTCATGTATGCATGCAATTCATGGAGAACAAGGCTTCAAAATTCTCTCTATAAGCATTGCTAAGAACAAAAAGTATCCATGCTAAATATATCCCTTGAAGACCTTTAAACTCTTCAGATTGCTTGCAACTGTCCATACAGTCTTTGAAATGTGCTTGTTCCAAATGTAGAAAGAAAGTAGCTGGCAGAATGTGAAGACAGAAGGCAAACTATGAGCACAAAACAACAATCAGCCTTCCTAGTAAGTGTCAAAGAGAGAACAGTAAAGCCAATGGATTTCAAAGAGGTTGCTGAAGCATGCTTACTTCAGGTGGGAGATTTCTTCTTTCAAGAATTAAATTCTGGGAGAGAGAAGCTGGGACATTTGAGCATTTCCCAGAGAAGTGAAGCAGCATTCAATGCACAAATAAAGATTATGTTAACATGGAGTATGGTAGAAAGTATGTACAGCAAGAGATCAAACTCAGCAATTCACAAATGCTTTGATGATTAAGCGTAAGAAGCAGCAGGGAGAAAAGAAAGGTCAAATTATCAAGGACAAGTGTAACAACAGCACACTAATAAAGCATTAAATTCATAAAGGCCACATCACAAAATGAGAAAATACAATGTATGTAAAGAACAAAACCACAATCCCATAGATATTTTAGTAAGAAAAGCAGCAAGGAAACAGTTATTCAGGTACTTGGTGAGAGAGAAAATGGGGGCAATGCCAAGAAAATAGAAGTGTTCTGTGCCTTTTTGCTCCATTTTTCACAAAGAGGTCAGAAGAGTTGCAGTCAGATGATTTTCACAACATAGGCAGAAAGGGAGCAAGAACAGAAGCAAAGCAATGAACTACAAGACACAGAATTTATAGAGAAAATAATCTGCTTTAAATTATGCCCATTGACTACATTTACTCCAAATAAGAATAATCTAAACTGATACCTCTGGGACATCATGCAAAACAGGAGATTCCAGAAGGTTGGAATTAAAATAAAAAAATAAAAATAAAACACCTCATCGTGTCTGCATCCTAGCACTAAAGAGGAAAATGGAGAGGAAAAAAAGAGCTAAGGAATCAAAGCCAAGCTGACAGGTCAAAATTGTCCAGAAAAAAAAGCCAGATGTAATATTTTCTAGATGAGTCTCCAAAACATCAAAGAATATGGTAATTGTTTTCTGAAGACATATATTAGCCATTTAGAAAAAAATTAAGTATAATTTCTGACTTGGAAAGTAAAAAGCAAACCTGAATAAAAGCAAACTTTGTCTTCAGGAAGACATGACAATTCTACTGGAAAGAGTGTGAAATAACCCAGAGAATACAGGGGCTGGATGACATTATTACAGAACAGATCCAAGTAACAGTTATAAAACTACTCTAAGATTCTAGGTTACCATGAAGAATGGAAAGATACGATCTGGATTGGATCTTTCTTTCATGTAGCTTTTCTCATTAGATATTTTTAATCAGAATATTCCATCATTCAAATTTTAAAGTCTCAAAGTGCTGCCAGGCTACAATGACGGGGAAATGTATTAAGGAGAACTCAGAATTCATTTGACAAACCTGAGGAACGATCTTGGGAAAAAAATGATAATTGAATGCCATTCAGGCACACATTCAAAGCTGTACAGAAACAGACTTGTCTTCTTGTGAACATTCCAAGCCTCAGATGCCAGCAATGTCTCAGCATGTATGGTGTAGCCAAGCTTAAGTATGAACTCTCAAAGACAGTAAAAGATGGTAAACAAAAAACAATTCCATAGATACAACATCAAAAAGAAGAGGAACAAGCATCAATATTTCCTTCCCAAAACCGTAATGTCAGTTCCTTTAGTTTCTTCATCAGTCTCAACAAGTCAATACAGTCATATACAGAACTGTAATGGTATGAAAATTAATCAATTTCTGATTAAACTTCAAAGAGATAATTTCAATTATGAAATGCATTATCTTGTGCTTGTTCCTTGTTAAGTGTGCACAAATAATCCCCATATCCTCACTGCAGAAATCTCAGTAGTAAACTAGAACTGAAAAATAGATATGAAGCATTCAGAAATGCCTTCAAGCAATTTTTAACAGTGATTTGCAAATGTAAAGCACTGCATTAAGTGCTAATTATTATTATATGACACACATATGCCAACAGAAGTAATCAGTATAACAAAGCACATTCCCCTAATACGGTGCCGCTTCCCACCAGAAAAATCTGGTGTCAGAAAATGAAACCAATCTTTGGTTGGCACCTGTGCCTAGTTGAAACTGGTACACCATATTGCGAGTGGGCATTGTGCCAGTAACAGATGGACAGGACTGTAAGCATGCCAAGTAAACAGGGTTTTTTTGGTTTTTTGTTTTTTTTTTTTTAAGCTGGAAAAAGATAGTGTTTCTATACCAACACAAAAAGAGTTTCCAGATGACCCTGCCTGAAGAGTACATTAAGTCTGAAAGCTGAGGAAATCTGAAGAGATACCTGCCTAAGCCATGAAGGCACCTATACTCATGCTGCTGGACTTGAGTAAAAGCACCTCTAGGGAAATTCTGCAAAACAAAGAGTTTTACGATGTGGAGTTGACTGATACTAAATATATGACCTATACTCCTTCAACTCTGCCTTCCTAGATGCTAATCCTAATTATTGAAAAACCTCACTCAGCATTGTCCTAAATCCACAAATCAATGAAACAAGGTTCCTCAAAAGATCAGGGTATGAAGAAAAGTACAATATGTTTAGAGTATCAAGCTTAGTCTTACTTTTAAGTCAAGCTAGTAACAGCAAAGCAAAAGAAAATCAAGGAACAATTATCATCCAAACATTCAGGCGTTCAGCATTCCCTCCTTCAAACCAACTGAGCAGCTTAGGGCTTAGACAAGTGACAACTTCGAGCAGTTTAATAAGTCACCATGCTCAAGTGAAATGGTGTAACTGCTCCTGTGAAAGTGTCATCTCATTTGAAAATTGAAGCAAAATCAATTATGATAAGCTTTTAAGGGAAGTTTTATTTTTCACTGAAAAATTACACATGCTTATATATATACTCTGTTGATGTGCATTGCCTGGAGGGTCAGTAGCTTCCAGCTAAACATCTACAAATACTCATTTAACCCTAAGATTTCCCTGCTTGCACACTGCTGTACAAGGGGAAAGAATTACTTGAATTACTTAGTCTTAGAAGATCAACTAAGAATCTACTGTTAGAATTAACTTAAGCCTGAGATCTTTGTGT